TTTTTTTCTGCTCCCGCATTTGATTAAATTGATGCGCGTATAAGCAGAATTGCTACTTAAATGTGGTTTTGTATTTTCACGAATTTGATTTTTGTGAAGGGATTAGTTTTCTGTTGCCATAACTAAACTAAGGTATAACTAAAAACATCATCAATTTCTCCCCTTACATTTAACTTTAATTCTTCAAATCACTTGATTTTTGAGAGGGTGCGTTTCCTGTTTTTCAGTGGCGTGATCTAAAGCCAAGAATATAAATTAAGCCACTAATACACGTCACAGCCAGTTTTACAGGGCGGAACCATTCATCCATCAATAGATCGTAATTTGTCATGACCTGAACGATCAATCTCCTTATTCAGTACCCCCAGAGGTATTGATTTGTTATGGGGTTTTATGTAACTTTTCACGAATGATGCTATATAATATTTTTTTATTAACATATATTATTTTTTAGCAGCAAAATTGAATTATTGAAGTCAGAGAATGTCTGCAAATTTCCACCGTTTTGATTCTTAAAGGTAAGTAATGTAAACTGGTAAAGTCAGTTTTTAATCGTTTCATTAAAATAAATTATATCTATCTATATATTATATATATGTAATATATATATATATATATATATATGTAAGTGAACAAATAAATAAATCACCCTACTTCCCTAAAAAGATACATAAAACAAACACAATAGCTTGATCTATATGAGTTCAGTAATTTTAAAACACTTTAATATCTTTGAAGCATCATTTAGGCTTATTTTCCCTTAGTTATGATTAAGAAATATATTTAAAAAAATAAATAATTAACTGTTACCTAAGTCTTATCAGCAATTTTTTAGAACCATAGAAGTGAAAATAGATAAGGTTTATTATTATTCTATTTGGTAAAAGGCATAGCATCAAAAGGTCAAAACTACCAAGTAGATGGTAAAATGGATATTGGCACTGAAGAATTTATTGGTTTATCATGAGGCATGGCGTGATAACGATTTATTTGATTAAATTTACTTTGCAATTTTGTATTTTTACTAAATGTATGGCAATGCATGGTAAATCGCTACTATAACAAAAGCAAAATTACCAAAAAATTGGTTTAAATGCCATAAAATTTGGTTTGATTGCCGTTTTTTGGCAGAAATGTCTTTACCATACAAGTGTGGTAATTTCGCCAGAATATCATCTTCGTGTGGAAGTTAAGAGTCCACAATGTGGAGGCCAACGGAATGATGATGGCAAAATGATCGACACTGCACATCGACCACCTTAACTTTTCAGACAAGTTGGTACCTGTCGTTCAGCTTGTTTTATTTAAAACTACTGGAAAGAGAAAAGTTCAAGGTTCAAGAGGTCCTAGCTCCTCAAGGTGATAGCTCAGTGTCTTAAACACTGTAATATCACGGTCGGACATTTTTATTTCCCCGTGGCAGAGTAGCTTAATCATTAAACATCTTACTATTAGACAAAACGTTTTAAAAACTTAAAACATATTTAAAAAAATTCCTCAAGTTCTTCAAAAAAATGATATTATTCTGTAGTATTCAACAACAATAAAACTATCTTTAGGTTAAACGAAATAAAAATACTTGTTAAATTAATATTCTTTAATAACTAAGCACATATAAATAAAAAAATAAGTCAAATAAAACATACAAATATACCTTTTCGTTGTGAGTTTTTTTCTTCGGTCTACCCAAGATGAAATTTCTCAAACCCGGAATCGAAAAAGAAGGTTGTTTCAGAATTTTTCTTGGCTTTGACTTGGGACTGGAAGCCAAATTTGCTGGAAGGTCAACGTGGCGGGCATGCCATTCCTTAAATTGTTCTTCAACTTGAGATATCGTTTTATCTCCTCTCTTGAATGTATTCATTAATTCAAGAAGTTCCTGTTGGCTATCATTAAGTTGAATATTTAATGATTCTCTCTCGACGACTTTTTTATTATTATCTGAAAATACGGTCATATTATTGAATTCATGAGGCTTGTAATTAAAAGCATAACATGAAACATTTGTATGGACAGAAACTGATCTACTTTAGAATATCTTCCAGTCCAGCACGAAAATAATAAAATGAAATATTTTTCATTTTAACTTAAAATAAAATATTGACACATATGCGGTCGACACATATGCAACACATATATGCTTTTCCCGAGCACTAAAAATGACCGATGATTTGAAAAATTTATGGAAAAAAAGGGAAGGAAGAATTCAAAGTTTGATGACGTTTTGTTTAAGAACCGACGTTTGTATTCTCATAAAATTTCAAAATTTGTAATAAAATTTGTCAATAGATGGTGCTACTTATTATGAATCAATGCTTTATGATGTTTTAACAGTTCTGCCTTGAGACTGAACCGCATTATGGCTGAAAATGAAGGTTATTTTGAAATCGTTGTTTAAGTTCTTCTCAGCTAGCAGCACCAATTGCCTATAAACTTTGAAACGAAATTTAAAAATTGACGGGGAAATTTTTTTTTCTAAGCACGTCCTATTTTTTTCAACACGTCCATCGTTTTCGAGAAAACCGATGTATATTTGTATAAATTGTTTTTCAATGGTATGGAATGTTTTAAATGATATATTGGAAATTTTTCTAATGATTACTGGTCTACTCAACTTTAACAATGCTGTATTTATTATTAAATGAAGATAATTAATAAAACAGCCTATTTTTAGTACTTCGATAAAAATTATACCACGCCACTTGAGTTTTATGGCTAGATAAAATGTAAACAATTTAGAAAATTTAAGGTATATTCAAATAACTCTTGAACTGATTAAATTACATTTCTGGAACAAGTATCTTGCATAAGACCACTGCTTATAAGTTCAGATTCAACATTTCTTTTTTTTCGACTAACATTTTTCAAAACAACACTGTTTACGTGATTCTATTCATGACATTCTTTTAAATAAAATTTTTTTACTGAATCATAAATACCTTTGGTATTCTAAAATAATGTAATGTAGTTACATTTTATACGCACACACACACACACACACACACACACACACACACATATATATAACATATCATGCAGGGGAGCATAAAATAACAATGATAGACTATACACGTTCTAGGATAATATAAAAATTGCAATTCTGAAAGTCAGTTAATAGATAACATAAGAAAAATCTATATTACACAAATATTCACAATTGTGATCTACACATAATCCACACATAAGTGATTAAATCAATTACCATAGATCAGGAGTGATTGTGAGTCCAAGTCAAAATTCCGGAAAATTTCTTAAATAAAAAATAAAAAAAGTTTAAATCGAAAAATTAAAAAAAAAAAATAAACAAGGTTTTTTCTTTTTTCTCAATATTTTTTAGTTTACTTAAAATATATTTAAAATTTTACACATACCTATNAGAATAAAAAAATAACTAATAAACGTATATCAGTAAATCCGTACCATAAACGCTAATTTTAAAAGAAAGTACGCACAAAAATTAGGGTTAAGATTCACGATGAGAGTTGTTAGGAACATTATAAGAACACACCATTGTGTTTTACACAATAAAAAACGCACTGAGCCCAGATATAGAATGAATCAAAACAAATTTTTCTTGAAACTTATAAAATTGTAATAAAATGTAAAAAATATCTTAGTACAACTGTTTACACTTTTCAAAAATACTGAGGAATAAAACCTAAATTTAAGTATTTTTAATAAAATTTTGAAAAAAAAATTTTTTGGTAACACTTTTTTGGTTTTCTATTGTTTTAATAACGAAGTATAGCATTTTTAAAAGTTATAATAACTATTTATTTTAATAATCAATTTGTTTTGCGATTTGTGTTGAAATTATTGTATTCCTTAAAAATCTGATTCCATTTGTATTCCGAATTTTTATCTGCTAGTACCTATTCTATCGAACTAAAGTTGGAAATCGATATTTTTTTAAAAAGAAAAATATTAAATCTTCTTAAGATAAGACTTTCACAACATTTACTTGGAACATTTTTTTTTCTCCTTTCCTAAATTTCGAAAATGAAGTGCCTACTTCATCGTTTGCAACCTGACAGAATTATTACTTCAGAGGTGAAAAGTTAAGGCCCATAATGGGGTTTAAGCCTGCACCAAAAGATGGGAAGTTAACATCGAAACAAACCACCATCCTGATAACATTTTCAGTCATGGGACTCGAGTGTAAGCTAAAACATATAGATTTATTGTATAAAAGATACCACCGCCTTTTTAAACTACATTTTATTTAACAAATTTATGCTCTTTCGCAGCTGCGCACTTGGCTTACTTCTTGATGAAACATATAAGATTAACAATTAATGGCTTGGTAGCTCTTAACACGGAATAAACTGTAGTGCTTTTAACTGGTATATGAGATAAATATTTGATGTTAATATTTAATAAGTTTGTCTCAAGCATTATATTTAACGTATAATGCAGTAACAAAAATATAAGCGTTTGGAATACGCAATTAGAGATGCTCGTAGAAGATTTAAAATTAAGTTATAATATATTTATACTTAGGCTAAATGAAGAAAAAGTACGGGGCACCTAACACAAGCATTTTCGTGACATTTATAAGTTAAACTAAGATGTCGTAGCTCTCAATGCGGAAAGGTTCATATAGATAAGGAGTAAACTTTTATTTTACCAAATAATTTAATATGTGAAATTCAATGAAATTTAAATTTTTAAATATCTTTCCTGAGATTTAACATACGAGTATCCCGAATTTATGACGGAAATTCCGAAGTCTTAGAAAGTAATTTTTGCCTGGTGGTAAAATATCATTATTTTTATAAATTAGAATGAATGAAAAAAATCTTTTCACGCAACTATAAGTAAGTTATTGAAAAAAAAGCACAAACATACACACACACACACACATATATATATATATATATATATATATAAGAAATTTTTTGACGAATATTAAAAAAAAATTATCAAAAGTCCTTACATCTTGAGTATAGCTGTTTGAGACAAATTATCGTTTTTTTCTAGAAGAAATAATGTACAAAGAACTTTTAATACACTACGTACCTATTTCGAAATTGACGTCTGTATATTCTCCAGATTTTTCAAAAGTTGATGGTAAAGAATTAGATCTTCTTAAGGATACTTTTTTCCGGTTACCTAATACGAAAAATTAGTTGATAGATTATTCGTAAATAAGACATAGAACTTACGCGGGGTGATCCAAGAACGAAAAAAATGCTCGGTGGCTTTGGCTGGAAATCATACATTTTATCCTCTCCAAGATTGATTTTTTTTTAATTCGTCAATAATTTCTAATTAATCAATCATTAATCAAAAGCTTGATTTTGGTTGATGTAGCTAAAAGAAAATTCATTATTTAATTCAATTAAATTAAGTAAAATACCAAGTATCTTGAATTAACTTTTTTCGTTTGATACATTACACCTCAATTTCTCAGCATCGCACGAACTGGTTTTCCATAGAATATTTCATTACACATTTCTTAAGATAAACAAATTAGCAAGATCACAGAACGTGAAAGATATTCTTATCAGATAGTAAAATTCTTTTCTACTTGCGAAAAGAAAAATTTTAACATGATTTTATCTATAAAAAGATACTTATTTCTTATAGGGTTTATGAAAGCAAAATCGTCTAGATGTAGTGACTACCCTAGATTAGTTGCTATCGATGTTGCACATAGTTGTGTCAAATAACTTGATATTATAATCTTAATATTAATGATAGCAACACATATCGATATCAATTAAGAAAATATAGTGATAATTATTGATAACTGTAATTATGGAATACGATAATATCGCGAATATTGAGACGTGATGGCTCAGGGGATAGAACGTTCGCCTTCCAATGAGGTGAACCTGATTCGAATCCCAAAGATGACTGATTGATACGAATTCCGCATCTGGTTTGCAATGACCACAATCCTGACGTAAAATATCATTAGTGGTAGACGGATTATGGGTTAATCTTGCCGTCAGTCTTACCGTTAGAGGTTTTCATGGTTTTCTCTCCGTTCAACGCGAATGCGGGTTAGTCCCATCAAAAGTCCTCCACAAAGGCAAATGTTTTCCAATATTTGATCCCGAAGTTCTCTTGTCTTCTGGATTGGGTTCAAAATTATAAGGCTACGGAGTTGAACATTAGTAGTCGTAAGCCCAAAAAATTTGGTCGGCTATTCAACGACGGTTATGACACAAAATTATAAAAAAAATATCACGAATAATATACAAAACAATAGTTATTGAATATTAAATATGATATTAGTGTTGATATATTTTGTTTAGGTAAAAAAAATTTTACTAATGTTATTTGTCGATTATGAGGACGAATGTTCGCGTTGGCGACAACTCGGAAAAGAAGTCACCAACGTATGGTTGATATAACGGATAAGTACGAGAAAAAGGTCATCGCTGATTTTCGCTGATTTCGACATTTTCGCTGATTATTATATCTTATATATACTGTGGTGGATACCAACAATGATCAATTATAGTTTAATAACGCTTTCGTTTTTTTTTCTTCTCTTTTTCACACTTAAATATTTGCTACCAACATAAAACTTAGTATTTTCTTCGTTCTTGCAACGATTCTAAAAAATTATATTAAGGTTGGTCGTTACGAAATACCTATGTATACACTGAAATAAAAATAGATGAATAGATACATTACTTTGCAAATCATTTTTTAGAAGAGCCTCATATCCTTCCGCATCCGTCCTTTTCAAATGGGTACTATGCCTTTCAAAATTCTAATAATACAAAAAAAGAAATGTTTTAAAAATTATAATATGTATAAAAGAATTAAACACTTCCTAATAATGGGAAATAAGTTATGAAATATAAAAAAAAATGTAAATTTTATTTTGAAAAAAAAAAGAATGCATTTGCAGTTTATTTACTGTATTTTAATTTATTATCTTGAAATACAACCGAAACATAAAATAATAATCAAGAAGAAACAAAATCAATTAAATAAAAGCAGAAAGATGGAATCCACATAAAATTATTTATTTAAACTGATAATTGACATTGTTATTATCAATATTAGGTAGGTAATCAATTACTGTGCCTTAAACAACATAGAATTTTATTGTGAAATATAAAATATTGCTGATAAATATTTTTACTTAAATGTTAAATATACAAAAAAAAGCAATTTTAATGTAAGGGCTTACTGCTTCTACGTTATTAATTATATAAAGTACTAATATAGAGGAAACATTTAACATATCCTTCAATATGCAGACATAAAAATACTGTAATAGATCAAAAAATCGTTAAATGGTAAAATCGTTAATAATAAGTCGTTAGGTTCCTATATTAGTAGTTATTCACGACATAAATATGAAAACAACAAACAGTTACGCCTCCACACATACATACATACATAAAAGTGTACAATCATTATATTTTTTCAAACATACTGTAAAAAATTCCGAATGAAATTATGGAATAAAGTACCGGCACTTTGGGTGTATCATCCGCAAAATTCATTTTACCGTAAAATACATTTTTACCAGAAAACACTATACTGAAATGTTTATATCAATATTTATTTAATTAAAGTGATTCAATGATACAGAATTTTTTTCTATACCATATTTCGGTAAAAATTAATTTTAAGGTAAAAAAAAAGGACCCGCACCCTGAGTGCCGGTATTTTTTACCGGAATTTTACCCGGAATTTTTTACAGTGCGAGTGATTAAATAATCACTAATTTTATTTCATGCTTTCCTTTTAGTTCTTAATATTTAAAAAAAAAGTATAAAATATAGTTAGTGATAGTTAAAAAGAGGAGTACTATAAAATCGACTAATGTTATAATTACTTACAGAGTTCTTTCTTTTTCTTAAGGAAATGGAATTCACGAAAAGTGCTCCACTTATGAAACATTCACCCAATTCATCAAGACCGTACTTTTCACACAAATCAACAAAGCTTTGAAATTCATTTTTAAAACTGTCATCAGTATCTAAAAAAGAATTGAGAAAACTATCTAATGAAGCTGTTCTTCATCTCATACAGTTTAAGGTAAAGGTTATCCTTTTACCTTATAAAGATTAAGGTAAAGGTTATTTTTTACCCCATATAGTATAAGGAAGATGTTATTCTTTGCCCTATACAGTTTAAAGTAAAGGTTATTCTTTACGCTATACAGTTTAAGGTAAAGGTTATTCTTTACCTTATACAGTTTAAGGTAAATGTTATTCTTTACGCCATACAGTTTAAAAGTTATTCTTTACTTTATACAGATTAAGGTAAAGGTTATTTTTAACCCATACAGTTTAAGGAAAAGGTTATTCTTTACCCTATACAGTTTAAGGTAAAGGTTATTCTTTACCGTATACAGATTAAAGTAAAGGTTATTTTTTATCCCATATAATTTAAGGTAAAGGTTTATCCTTACCCTATACAGTTTAAGGTAAAGGTTATTCTTTATGCCATACAGTTTAAGATAAAGGTTATTCTTTACATTATACAGTTTAAGGTAAAGGTTATTTTTTACCCCATACAGTTTAAGGTAAAGGCTATTCTTTACTCCATACAATTTAAGGTAAAGGTTATTCTTTACTCCATACAGTTTAAGGTAAAGGTTATTCTTTACCCCAAGGCTTTCAATACAGTTTTATAACCAAGCATTTGTTTAAAACGCAAGCTGAGTCTTAGAAGTGATATTACTAGGTAATTAAAATGAAACAGATAAGTTTATCAGAATACTTTTTATTGCATTAAGTCGGCCTTGTAGAAATTCAAAGCAAAGGAACGTTTTAAAGAAGTATTATATTCAAATCGCTAGCTTCATTATTTGAAAACAGGTTATGTTTTTAAATAAGATAAATAACATGACTTTATAATTAGTGTTAAATTAAATATTAGTATCCACTATGACATATATACAATGAGTAAATTCAATATGGATATGGAAGTGCACAGGATGCTCTTTTTCAAAATATTAAGTGGTAGCTAACATTAAAAACTATCCAATTATTAATATGTAAGTGCATTATTACGAAATAAGTAGGAGCACTTTTCCCATCACTGCAGTATAAAAAATATTGGCCTTAATTACATAAACTTAGTTAAATTTTCTAATGGTAAGAAATTTGATTTTATATTTTCATTTCAGTTAATCCTAATTACTATCTTATATCGTGAAAAGCAAATGTGATGGATTGAAAGTAATTTTGAAATACCACAATATATTTTCACTGATTTATTTTGAGATTTTGCATATAAGAAACTCAATATAATATACTATTTGGGAATATTAGGGAAGTTTGTACCTTAGACAAATTTTAAGTTTTGGAATTTTATATGCGGAGAGAAATTATTTGAAATAGTACTTTAAATTTTATGGAAAATACATTATACACTAGTCTATTAAAAAAAAATTGCGAACGCATTTTATCATGCATTTCAAAAAAAATTCCATGCAAAATTCTTCGATCTTTAAAAAATTCCCAAAATATGACGAAATACATAAAAAATGAAATCAACATTAATAAATCCTAACTTCCGACAGCGCTCTTGACTATTAAACCATCGGATCATATTTCCAAATTACGGCTACCGCCAGTTTTTTGATAGTCAAAAATCCAAATCCGTGAAAAAAAAAGTTATGTTTATTCAGACAAAGCACGTTAATGTGAATCATTCTGTAACTCAATAAATACTTATCACTAATTACTTAGCATATTAAAAATCAGGTTGCCCTTTAAATCATTATGATTGACACTTTGTGAAAATCCGATCATAAGAACTAAAGCTATTTAACGTATTCTCTTTGCTTGAGTACTGTACGTGTAGTCCAGGGTACAACAATCTCCTCTACTTATTTCATTTGTATTTCCAATATTTAATCCAATAATAATAGGTAGAATTTGTATTTCCAATATTAATTCTACCTATTATTCTCAATATTATAAACATAATTATCGTTACATTTAAAACACATAAAATGACTAAATTTCTTACTTTTTTCTGCTTCGCATTCACATTTATCATTCTCTTTTATAAGGTTAACATAAATTGGCTCTACTTTTTTCAAATTCTTCATCTTTCGTGGAAGTGGTATAGGTCTAGTATGAGGTATTGGTTTTTGCGGAGGTGGTCTAGTAGGTAACGGCGGTGGACAGTTCTGAGGGTAAAGTGGACATTGAGTTTTATTATATGCTCGAGGATCAGTGGAGACCCATCTTGGTGGTTCAGAAAATCCATTTTCCTGAAGAAAAAAAAGGTAAGTATAATCAAGATAGATATTTTTTTTATGTGGCACCCTAAACTCAGGTATTTTTCTATCTATTGGCAATACTATAGTAATTATGCATTTTGCTGTTTAGTTGTCCTTTGTAATAATGTAAGTAGTGTTAAAAAAATTAGTACACGTTAAGAATTTATTTAGATTTATTTTGCTAGGTGTTCTAAACAATAATTTAAATTGTGTTCAATAGAGATGTCCAAGACAGTAGCTGAACTACATTCAATCAATCAAAAACAATCAACTGTGGTAATTTTATAATCGCGAATGACAACTAACTTTTTGAATTGAACGATACGTATTCCTATTGATTTCTATCTGATTGATCATTGGTAGATTGCAAATCGACAGATATTTTCATTGAAATAAAAACGTAGCTGCGAAGTAATTGTTTAGATTTATTTTTGATCCTTTCTAAAATTGCCGTGAAAATTATATATATATATATAAATTACATTATGACGCATTCACATACATTATTAATACAAATACGTTTTCCAGGGCGAGACGA